TCACACGAAAACATCCCAGTGACTCGAACACACAAACGGAGGTAAAACCCGGGCAGGGATTCAATTGCCACTTCAGAGGCACTGCCGTAACAGAGCACGGGAAATGAATGTCCCCGAGAACCGCACCCAATCCGAGGGAGCAGCTCATAAAGCACACCGGACGCGGCGGCCAGCCTGAGGATCGGGAGCAACTTAGGACCCGGCCGTGGAGCGCTCGCAGAAAAGAGCCGACAGGGAAACTTGATTGCGAGCGGGCAGGGAACACAAAGGCAGGACTGGAAGAGCTTCTGTTCGTGTGTGGAGGGAGGAGGTCTGGCAGGGGGGCGAGCGCAGGCCTGGACCAGGCAGGGTTCGGAGAGTCTTCGTGGAACACAAGATGCCGGAAGTCTCTTCGCAATTCCAGAGATTCTGGACAAGCTTCCTGCTGAACGGAAAATGGGGGTGCGAAATGTGACCCCAGTATTTAAGAACCACAGGCCTCTTAGCTCAACAGCAGCACCAGGGGAAGTTGTTATAATCCCTTCGAAAGTGTCTGAAAACTGGGCACCTCGAAAGGTAACAGCGAGACAGGGCAAGAGGTATCACGGATTAATGAAAGGGGAATGCGTTTGGAAAAATCCGTGGAGCGTTTGCGATGATGTTGTTGTGAGGAGGTATTATCACTGCACTCTTAATCCAGAAACCCAGGTGGTCCCCCTCTCTGTCCGCCCGCCCGCCCCCCCCCCCCCCCCGCCTCACGGTTGAGAAACCTGCCCCACTTCCCTGCTCCCGCACCCCCCACCCCATCTCATAGAACCATTGCAGCGGGAGAAAAGTCCATTCGGCCCATCGAGTCAGCGCTGACCCTCCAAAGAGCATTCTACCCTATCTCCATAACCTCACACTTCCCAAGGCCAATCCCACCCTAACCTGCACATCCCTGGGCACTACGGGACAATTTCCCACGGCCAACCCACCCTAATCTGCACATCCCTGGGCACTACGGGACAATTTCCCACGGCCAACGCACCCTAACCTGCAAATCCCTGGACACTAGGGGACAATTTCCCATGGCCAATCCGACCCTAACCTGCACATTCCTGGGCACTACGGGACAATTTCCCATGGCCAATCCGACCCTAACCTGCACATCCCTGGACACTATGGGACAATTTCCCACGGC